AGTCATAAGTTAGTTGTTTTGATTTTGTTTGCCTTTTCCTTTTCCTTTAATATACTTGTTTGGGGGGAATGAAGGAGTGGGGGGCACTTATGGAGTCCCTGATGACTGACACCACCACTACTATGATTCCCCCCTTATCCCTCACTCTACAGCAGCTCCGACTTCTTCTGAGCTATCACTACGCTGTCAGGTAGCAACTGCTGGTTGTTGCTGTCTATTCTTCATCTTTGTTTCATTTTTGAAGGCACAGGACCCAAACATAAAGTTGCCAACTTGTTAGTAAGAACTGGGAGGTGGACTGGCACTGCAAGGGTCAGGGAGATAGTCTCAAACCCCTTCTTAGACACAGGTCTGCTGCCAAACATCAGTTCTGCAACTGACCAGCGGAGCTGCACTCAGTGGGTCACCTGCACCTTCGTTTTCCTCTCCTGAAACTGAAGGCAGGGGCTGGGATGATCTCCAAGAGCTTCTCCAGCTGTACAATACCTCAGCTTAAAACAGTGTAATTAATTTTTTAAAAAAATCAAGAACACAGCCACATGGACAGATCTCTAAACGATAAACTTGCATACATATGGAAAATGTGAGAGAATGAGTTGCATTACACAATACAGCTTTGGCTTTGTAACTTAATCTTTGAAGTGATAACATAGTCCATCCAAGTGATTGGAAAACTATTAAGGAACACATTTTAAGTCTTCCTTCTCTTTCCTCTTTCCTCCAACACACAAAACTTTTTGCATGCAAATTTTCCATTTCTTTACACACATATGCACAAAAATTAACAAAGGCTTTCCCTTTTGTTACACAAAAAAATAACATACCGTATATCCTGTTCTCCATCTGGTTTTTTGCCCTTGCTTAATAAGTATTTTGGACTTTTCACATTTGTACATTAAGTGTCTTCCTTCTTTTGTATTACTGCATAGGATCCCATTAGAGGGGTACGATTTATTCAACCACTCCCCTCCTGATGACTATGTGAATTGTTTCTGGTCTTTTCTATTAGAAGCAATGCCATAATGAATACCCTTAGACATACGTGCTTTTGAATTTGTACACATACAAATGATCAGAAACATGGTTTCTTCTGTAACTGTGTACATATGCATTTTGATAGAAATTATCAAACTTTACGCTGTAGAGATGATTATCAAGTTACTCACCTACATTCAAAGTTGGAGCGCCTCCCCTACAGTCTCTTCCGTACACTGTTACCAAACTTTGGATGCTCTGATGGATGCTAAAACATCAGCATCTCAGGACATGGTCCTTTCCAGGCAGGTTTTGATTTCTATTGGTCTTTTCAATGAATGAAATACTGGTTCCTTTGTTATACATAATAGCTATTTGTATTGCTCTATAAATCAATACTTAGAGCTCCTTTTCACATATGTGAAAATTTAAAACTTGCAGTACAGTTGCTCTGCCTGTGGATAAGTGTTCCTCAGAGGCCCGTGTGCACCACCAACCCATGGCACTACTGGGAAGAACCTACTGGCAGAACCTTTTGGAGATGGAGGCTATGGGAGGAAGTTAGGTCACTTGTGGGTTACCCTGGAGAAGCTATCAGCCACAGTTTGTCTGTCTGTCTGTCTCTCTGTCTGTCTGTCTGTCTCTCTCTCTCTCTCTCTCTCTCTCTGCTTTCTGTCCACCATGAGATGAACAGCTTCTACTTCCACATGTTCCCACCAGGATGTGCTAACTTGCCAAAGACTCAAAAGCAACCAGCCAACTGAACATGCACTGAAACCTCCAAAACTATGAGCCAGAATAAGCCTTTTCTCTTTGTTTAATTGAGTATCTGGGGTGTTTTGTTATCCTGACAGAAAGCTGACTAACACATCTCTATGTTACTTGTGGCCATGAGCATACATCAGGAAGGGTGGAAGGGACACTCTCTGACCTCAGCTTGAAGTTGGCCTCTGGAGAAGATGACAAGGGAATGGGACAGGGAAGAGGCATAAAGGAAATTTGACTGAGGGTGTTACATTTTATTTTTAAAAAATTAAAGAAGGAAAATAAAAATAGGCACAGAAAGAAAAACAGAGGAAGGAAAGGAGAGGAGAGGAGAGGAGGGAGGCAGGGACGGACAGGGAAAATATGCTTTAAAAATCGGTGAGCCTGAACTTGAGTCCCAGTGACCATGTATTTTCTGTGGCTTTTCACAACCCTCCCAGTCTCCCTCACTCTCAATTTTCACATCCCTGGGATGCAAATAATGCCCACACTCTAGAGTTAATGTGAGACTTAAGATAATCCATATGACATATGTCTCTGTAATTGCCATATCATTGCTCAACCAGAATACTGTCATTGTTGACATTAATTTGATTTTTATTGTTCCAATGTATACTGTGCCTCCAGACAAAAGAAAAGGTCTGGTGACTTCTCTCTACTCAGCTACTTCTTTTTCCTGTTGGGATTCCTAAGGAGTAGCTTCTTAGAATCACCATGCCAGCGGCTGCATCCTCCCTGACATGTTTTCCAAATGTCTTCCCCAGGGCTGCACCTGTTGGCAGGACTAGTGTGTCTGGGAATCCCAAGGGTGGGAGAAGCAAGGATGTGGACAGGGTGGGGAGGAGGAGTTTCCTCTGTGTAGCAACTGCAGCTGCTGTTCCCAAGCACTGAGACCTGTGCTGGGACATGAGATGGATTTCCTCTGGGGCAGCTTCCAGAGAGTTACACCCAGGTTACCTGCGGTCACCACCTGGCTTCAGTGGGGGTCATGCCTCCCTCTTCCCTAACTGCATTACATCAACAGGAACTAGGTGTTTCACCCACCTCCAAGGCAATTACTCTAGCATCTTGTTTCCTCCAAGCCTTGGAGAACCAGAAAATAGTATTTTATTCTTTTGCTGAAAGCTTTTTATCAGCACAGGAAAGAATACAACAACGAACTTTATACACCTTCTAATACATGTGGGTTATCTTCTGAGTTGGATGGTTCATATTCTTTTTCATTACTTGGATCTAAAAAAATTCATTAAGCTAGACAGAAGAGAAAGAAGAGAGGAGAGGAAAAAAGAGAAAAGAAGGAGGGTGGAAAAAAA